GGCTGCACTAGTTGGTATTTTGAAGGCCCTTCCAATATTAATACAGTGTGAGTCTAGTCACATGTCAGACACTGGGTAACACCTAACCAAATGCTCAAGTATTCTCATAAGAAGTATGCTGAATGTAAGTGGTTTTTGTTTCACATATGTACCCATCCCATTTTCAACTACACTGAATGCATTCGGTAAGATACTCAAAGCAAGGACAAAGTAATTTTTCACTGAGTCTTAACAGCCCCAGTTAAGTATGCTACCTAATAGCTTCTTGAATTTCTTGGTATTTCAGTGACTGGTATTTTTTTTTTTTTGGCTAAGTTTTTACACATTTGTATCCTCTTAACTGGATTAACTGTAAAATGTACGTACTGATTTTTTAGTTTTAGAGACCATTTTCATTAAAAGTATTTTCCAGTAGCTTTTTCAGATAAACAATTTATTCTTAATTGTTGCCTGGTGCTTATATTTCAACCTCTTTAAGCTTCCCTTTTCAACTAACTAGCTGTCTTTGTTGTAAATGAAAATGCAAACATGTATTTGAAATTTCATTAATTGAAACAGCAGTAAGGTGGCAGCAAATGTTAACCGTAACAGATTACCTCGTACCACTGGACTGTTCTATTACTGGGTCAGGAGTAACAGGTGACACAGCACAGGAGCTCTTCAAATAGATTTCCTGTTGCTTTTTTCTTTCCTGGCAACTTTCATTTAAATATATCTTGTTGCTAAGGCAGTAGCTGGCTCTGAGCCAACAGATGGCACACCGAACAGCAGTCCAAAAACTAAAAGCAGAGCTTAGGTCATTCACGTTAACTGGTACTCACGGTTAACCGCTCCAGGATACTTTACATAACCAAAAACCTAGGAGAGCATTCTACATAGTGATTTTTTTACTTCGTTTACATCAAATTTACAGGTTTTTAAAATTAGTCTGTTCTTTGACATTGTTGAGCCATGTTCTAAATTTTCATATTAACATGTTTGGAGCATCATGTCCACTGAAAATGTGAACCTGCTACAAGCTTCTGAACTGTAAAACCTTTACAGGTTACTGTCAACAGAAAAATGCCTTATCCAATTTCTCATGATAGAGAGAACTCCGCATTCTAAAACCCCACTAACCCTTTAAGTGAAGCATTATGCCTATTTTTAGACATTTCTGATACAAGGTTTTCTGTATGGGAGGGTGTATATATTCAGTATACTGAATTTATTGAGCTTTCAGTGTAGCCGTATGTTAAGAAGACAGTTACCTAATTTTTCTCAGTTCTCACTGGTTTTCCATTTAAATGTTTCCGTAAGTACATAATTTGGAAAATACTTGATGGCCGGAGAACTAAAGGTGGGAAGAGAGTTAACTTCCAGGACCACCCATTATAGCTCACTTTTTACCAACAAAGCAGTTTTTATACAGCACTTAGGACTCACTTCTAATAACGTCAACTCAGGTGGCCAGTAAAGGCCGAAGGGAAGAGGCTTAAGTGACTCACCAAACTTCTGATACTCAGGTCTAATATGAAGGCTCTAGATAGGAATTCCCCACAAATTTCTAAGAGGACTAATATGAACACAGTGAACCTAATTCTAGTTTCACCAGCTGTGGGGCCTCAGAAACCATTTGCTCTGGACTTTCGTTTCCCTAGCCATAAATGTGGAGGAATCCTCAGAATTTCAAGTTGCTCCTGTATCCTTCCCTTTTACGGAGAAAGCCGGAGGCTCAAAGCTCAGATTTAGCTGGCTTTTGCAGTTTAACCTGCAATCTACCTCCCATTTCCTAAGTGTGTTTTCATGCCACCTTCTCCTTTGAAATAGATCTTGAAGCACCAATAAGACTCCAAGCTACACACGTAGAGACAAGTACCAGACTCAAATCTCAGTACCACCAAGGAAAACATGCTTAGGTTATCAGAATTGTGAAGGCTGTAGTACAAAAGCTAAGAGACTAGAACTCGGGATCTGAGAAAGATCAGCCTTTCTCAGCATGTCACCTTGGTGCTTCATCTTCCTAAGCTTCCATTTCCTCACATGTAAAACGCACTCATCATAACTAGTCTACTGAGATATAGGAAGACTACTTAGCACAGTGCTAGCACATTATAAGTACTCAATAAATGTTACAGATCAAGTTGTTTTTTTTTTTTTTTTTTTTGAGATGGAGTTTTGCTCGTTAGCCAGGCTGGAGTGCAATGGCGCGATCTCGGCTCACCGCAACCTCCGCCTCCTGAGTTCAGGCAATTCTCCTGCCTCAGCCTCCTGAGTAGCTGGGATTACAGGCACGCACCACCATGCCCAGCTAATTTTTTTTGTATTTTTTTTTTTTTTTAGAAGAGACGGGGTTTCACCATGTTGGCCAGGATGGTTAGATCTCTTGACCTCGTGATCCACCCACCTTGGCCTCCCAAAGTGCTGGGATTACAGGCTTGAGCCACCGCGCCCGGCCCCAGATCAAGTATTTTGTAAGAAAATAACAGAAGTTTTTTTTATGGATTGCATTTGCATCAATTACCTGCCGTGATCTAGAGCCCTCACAGGGACGACATTTAAATGTTCAGTTTGCCTAATAGCCTTCAATGAAGCACGGATTCTTCTACTTGAAAAAGGTAAGCCTAGAAAAAATTACATTGATGACTATGCAGGAAGAAATGTGCTCTGCTGTGCTGCTCAGTATTGAAGTGGCTTCCACTGTCTTAACACCTGTCTAAGAACAGGTATGCTATTTGCACTAAACACTCACGTATCTATACCTATTAAGTTAAACTTCCCTTTTTAGAGTTAATGCTTCATTGCCTGTAGGCATATTATCACTGTCTGTCTTTGAAAAATCTGCTTTTAAGTGAACTATTTCATAAACCTCTTGTTCAGAGAAACATTTTTTGATTTGTCCAATGGACTGAAATAAAAGGACAGTAAACCAAAATATAGTTGATCCTCATTAGTATAGGATTCCTTACTTGTGAATTTGCCTACTCACTAGAATTTATTTGTAACTCCAAAATCAACATCCTTTTCTGGTCATTTGTGAATATTTGCAGTGACAAAAAACTGCAGTCACTTCATGTGCACCAGGCAATGCTCTGCCATGTATCAGCTCTCACACCATAAACAGGTGTCCTTTTGGGGGTCTGTTTAGTGCCAGGTTTCATGATCGTGCTGTTTGTTGATTTTGCTGTTTTAAGATGGTTCCCAAGAATAGAAGTGAAGTGTGCTGCCTAGTGTTCTTTTTTTGCTGTTCTTTTTTTTTTCTGAGACGGAGTTCCGCTCTTGTTACCCAGGCTGGAGTGCAATGGCGCGATCTCGGCTCACTGCAACCTCCGCCTCCCGGGTTCAGGCAATTCTCCTGCCTCAGCCTCCTGAGTAGCTGAGATTACAGGCATGTGCCACCATGGCCAGCTAATTTTTTTGTATTTTTAGTAGAGACGGGGTTTCACCATGTTGACCAGGATGGTCTCGATCTCTTGACCTCGTGATCCATCCGCCTTGGCCTCCCAAAGTGCTCGGATTACACCTAGTGTTCTTAAATGCAAAGAAGGCCGTGATGTGCCCAGCATGAGTTAGTTACAGTGCTGTTGGCTGTGAATTCAGTTAATGAAATACTCCTAAAGGTGTTTTCAAGCAGAAACATGTAGATGAAGGTTACATACTGACTAGCAGACAAAACTGTGACAAAAAGGTCAAAGAATCTAATTCTCGTAGGAACTTGTTACTTATTTGCGACTTCAGTGTTCACAACCGCCTTAAAAAACAGAATTACCACAAACAAGAACCAACTATAGCTTCCCGTCTGCTTGTCCCTGGAAATAAAAGAATTCATCCTGTATAAAAGCCTTAGAAGCTGGTGCTTCATCATACACTAAATCATAACAGACTCCATCAGATTTTAAACAAGAGTATAGGATGGAAAACACAAAGAGCAGATATACCTTTAAGAGGAAGATAAATATTACCTCGACTACTTTTTAACCTCAAGAGTCCTTGTATCCTCCATTAATAACTAAGAACCTTATGATGATTTAAGGACGTTTAGATGGTAGGTAGTATACTTTACCAATCAGAGCTACACATAACAACTCCTGCTGGGAAATACAAATTTATATCAGATGTTTTATACAGGTCCTCTAGTTAAGATCCTTATATATTTTATGTTAGATGAACCATAAGTAATCTGCCTTTAAACATCATTTACATTTATTAGTGTATATATAAATTAACAGTCCAAATGGAATATTTTGATATTGACATTTCATTTTGCTAACAGTGTTTAAGCTTAATCGTAACAATTATAGAATTTTGATTGTCAAGAAATAGCCAACTGAAGGAATAATTTCTAAATGGTCAGTACCTTTAAAGGGCTAGCTGAATACAAAGTAAATACTTCTCATGCCTGTAATCCAAGCACTTTGGGAGGCTGAGGTGGGAGGATTGCTTGAGCCCAGGAGGCTGAGGCTGCAATGAGCTGTGATTGTGCCAGACCTGTACTCTGAAATCTTTATACTATTTTTAATGTATGAAATACTCTGTTTATTAATATATGTATGTAAATAGAATACATACACACCCACCCACACCCCTAGGTCAATTTCTTAGGTCTAAGTTGTGGCTAAATTCACTTTTAAATACAAGGTTCCAAGTATCCAAGTTGCTGGGCCAGTTGTCTGTACCTGGAACAGCCTTTTTTTTTTTTAAAAAAACCTCTTAAGACCCCCTACTTGACCAGCTTGAGTGAATTTCTATCATACTATTTATCACAGTCCAATGACCAGTTTATTGGCCTCCCATTAAAGTGGGGGCTCCCTGAGAGCAAGGACTGTCATCTTCACTTTGCCTTGAAGAGTAGACATAGTTCCCAAATCATCTGCTAAATGAGGAATGAACAATATTAATCTTCAAATGGTGTGTCTGCCCATAATTAATATGCAAATATTCTAAACTATAGTCTAATTTAAAATCCCCATGTTTAAACAAAAATTATACCAAGGCTTTGAGATTTAGCTTGTGCTAAATCATTTTTTAAAACTGTAACTCTAAGGCATTTTATTATAAAAAGTTAATACTCATATACATAAAGTAATATGTACTTAAAATTCATGATACATTTACTTCATTTTTTAGCTTGACCTTCTAGTAGATCCTTAGCTTCATTTATTTTGGCTGCTATATAAGGAGATCCTCCTATAGGAAGAAAGAAAAAAGAACAGTCACAATACGGATTCTCGATTTCTGCCTGATAAAAAGACACTCTTGTTTCAAGGACTCCAGTGCTTATCTGAGGTAGAAATAGCAGAAATGGTGTTTTTAATTTTAAAAAAATAACCTTGACACTGCAACTGGATGACCAGATGGGAAACGAAGAAACTTATATGGGAGAGATTTCTACAAAAATGACACCTTTTTAGAAAGCTTAAACTGATAGAAAAAGTATTTCTATAACATATATTAGATACATATGTATATGCCTTTGAAATGGCGTTAGCCTATTCATGATTACAGGTCATGAGTGAACATCAATTGTACCATGTTAATACCATGATATTCTCAGGGGCTTCTGAGCTCTGAGTTTACTGGAAGGATGTTTGCTTTACATTCTTTTACTGTCCAGTTTTTCTTTTCCTATTATCTACTGTCTCTTCACAATGTCATCTGCAGCTGCTATCCTATGAATCTGCTGGAGGAGTGATTCTCAAAGTGTGGTCCTAAGACCAGCAAGAAGTAACAGCAGCAAATTTAGTATACGTGTATATTTTTGGGGCTCCACTGCAGACCTACTGAATCAGAAGCCCTCTATATAATACAAGCTAAATTTCATAAAAGAGACTGTGAAGTCAGATGTTGAACAATTAAAACCCTGTTTAAACTGTCAAAACCCTCTTTATTAATGAAAGCTCTCTTCTTTATAAGCAAAAGGATATGCACATTAAAACATGAATTCTGTGGTCTATTTTTTGGTATTCAAAGGAATTCTTTCTTGCTTTTCTTCAGCACAGCCAAGGCTGCTTAGAAGTGCATCAGAAACAAATAAATAAAACCCGTAAGTTTCTATCTAGGTAATCTCCATTTGAAGGTATCCAAAATGGATGAGGAAAAATTACATTTTAGTTTTACTGAAATTTAGCATTTTAATTATAATTAAATGTAGGCCCCAAACCCCACAAAACATATTAACAGTAGCACTTACATCTGCTCATTCTGTAAATAAAAGTTTGCACTCAATTTCTTTTAAGACACCAAAAATGTCTCCAGCCTAGGAGACAATACTTACACACAGATTTAGGTGTTTTCCTTCTAAAAGCCAGGAATTTGAGATAAAATTATTCCATTAGTAACAAGTCACACCCAACAACATCTACAACAAAAATTTAATGACTACTCACCTTTGTCAGGATGATTTAAAAGCATAATTCGTCGATGAGCATCTCTTATTTTCCCTTTATTGGCAGTAGGGCTAATTAAAAAAAAGTATTTACTTCAGCCTACTTCTGCATCACATAAAAAAAAAACACTATACATAAAGGCCAATTAAAGACATGTGTAACTGGTAAATTAACAGTATGAAAAGTGGTTTAGAAACCTCAACACACACAAAATGCACATCCTAAATTGGGGAACTAAATGTACTGAACTTGTAATATACATTACAACAGTCCTTTTATTGATAAGAAAAGCATGTTTAAGGATTTGAAAATGAAGGCAGATTTTTTGTTTTTAAATGAAGTCTCACTGTGTGGCCAGGCTGGAGTGCAGTGGCTTGATCTTGTTGGCTCACTGCAATCTCAGCCTCAGGTTCAAGTGATTCTCCTGCCTCAGCCCTCTGAGTAGCTGGGATTACAGGCATACACCACCACACCTGGCTAACTTTTGTAGAGAATTAGCCAGGTGTGGTGGTGTATGCCTGTTAGTAGAGATGGGTTTCGCCATGTTGGCCAGGCTGGTCTCCAACTCCTGACCTCAAGTAATACACCCGCCTCGGCCTCCCAAAGTGCCGGGATTACAGGGTGAGTCACCATGCCTGGCCAAAGGCAGAGTTTCACCACAAAAATGTCAGTTAACAGAGAACACTGAACACTGATAATCTGCTGAGGAGTCTATCTTTCAATAAATGGAAAAGTGCCTGTGTTTTAGCGAACACTCTAGGAAAAAAAAGTGCTTAAGTGCCAGTGTGACTTCTCATTTGAAGGAGTGTTAAGACCTTAAAAATAACATAAAAGGAACAGTACAGCTTCACTGACTAGAACTGATAATATCAATCTTCCTAGGACAAAATCCTCCATAAACCTCTCCTATTAAAGGACAGAAGGTCTTTCTTACATTTCCTCATGGCTCTAGAGTGGTAGAAAAATGCTAAAAATATTAGAGATTATTTTACCTTACACCTAGTATTAATGCTGCTTCCCGTTTTGTCATTTTGGGTTCAAACCCACCTCTGTAATAGCCACCACTGAAGGCCTGAAAGAAGAAATGCATTTGTAAAGAAAGGTTAATAGAAGAAACGAAGTTGCTTTAAAAAAAAAGTGTGGAATGTTCACAGAACCAGAAGAAAAACTGACACATCAGAGGACTTTAAGTGCAATTCCCGAGGCATTTTAGCTAAAGCTAAATAAAGCTTATAAATAAATAGCAACTAGTATTTTAATGATTAAACAGATCCATTTTTTTTTCCAGCCAATATGAACTACCTTAGAAATATAAGACAAAAGAAAAAAAAGTATCTGAAAGCCAGCTCTTCCAGGAGTAAAGGAAAGATAGTTCCAAATTAGCCATATTATAGATAAAAGTCTGCACGAAGTGCCTCAGGAACAGGACGTGGAGGTCTTTTGAGACAAGAGATTCAAGGGTATTTGTAGTAAGACTTTAAGATATAGATACAGAAAATACCACTATGAGGTCCTCTGAGCTTGCTATGTCAGAAATCATATTGGTAAAGCCTACAATCATTCCATTCTGTTACACTTAATGACAACATAAATATTCAACAGGCTATCACAGCCCAATCTATTCTTAACTGTGACCACAGAGGGTATGACCGTAACATCAGGTCAAACCCTATAGCATAATTAACTACAGTATGATGTTTGGGAGTGCCAGAGCCACATGGTAAGATCGGATCACGTTAGAATCTTACATCCTTGTGTGTGTGTGATGCAGATGAAGAAAAACAAGAGCATGTACAGATGATACTGAAGCTGACAGTATATGAAAAAGTGCTATTAACTTCCACAGGAAAGTCAGGTCTAGTGGGGTACTAGAATTGTCAATACCCCACCCAACTCTGTCGCATATAACATCTGATGTTTTAGGGTGGCACCATTACAAAGCTCAGAACTTCTCTACTCTCCTGTGGGAAGCAAGGAAAAGGGTCCAAAGCAATCACTTAGAGCTTCACGGATGTTTGGAAATGTACCCTTCCTCAAGTGTGGCTCTAGGTTTTAAACATAAGCAGCAAAGAATTGGCAAAAGTGTTCATTAAGTCTTACAGATTTTGGTAGACTTTGAAAAACTTGTTTTACTTGAGGCTCCATATGCTTCATGGCTTGCAAAACATAACGGCCTAAAACCAAAAGCAACAGAATAAGTAAACTAAATCTCCAATCTCTCCGACTTCACTTCCGCCCCCAAACCACAAACCAACCTGCAAATCCTGCAGCTGCAATGGTCAGTCCAACTGCTACCATTGTACTGGCCTGGTGAAGGGGAGAAGAGCGAACATTTACTTCTCTAATTCCCACCCTTTCTCATTTTGCCCATTCTCCCATCCCCCGGCTCATTACAAACTGCATTTTAATAGGAGGAGAAACATCTTTTTTTTTTTTTTTTTTTTTTTTTTTTTTTAAAGAAATGGAGTTGCTTTGTTGCCTCGGCTAGTTTTTTTTTTTTTTTTTTTTTGAGACGGAGTTTCGCTCTTGTTACCCAGGCTGGAGTGCAATGGCGCGATCTCGGCTCACCGCAACCTCCGCCTCCTGCGTTCAGGCAATTCTCCTGCCTCAGCCTCCTGAGTAGCTGGGATTACAGGCACACGCCACCACGCCCAGCTAGTTTTTTGTATTTTTAGTAGAGACGGGGTTTCACCATGTTGACCAGGATGGTCTCGATCTCTTGACCTTGTGATCCACCCGCCTCGGCCTCCCAAAGTGCTGGGATTACAGGCTTGAGCCACCGCGCCCGGCGCCTAGGCTAGTCTTAAACTCCTGGCCTCAAGCAATCCTTCCACCTGGGCCTCCCAAAGTGCTAAGATTACAGGCCTAAGACACCACGCCTCGCTGAGAAACAACTTTTAAGGCGAAAATATTCTGCCTAACGATCCTTAAAACTGTATCTGTTCTACTCAATGCATTCAAGTCACCGGATTTATTACCACGGAAAAGAGGGCAAGTCGATTCGCTTATTTACCTCCACAACAGTGAAAAATACAATTCCCTCCCTTTGAGAACTTCTTTCATTCCCGGACAAATCAGGTCACATTAAAGTTCAATCCAAAGGAGTGGAAGTAAGGTTTCTGCTAGAGAAGGGAAAACTGCTCACAGGCGGCTCCCGTAAAATTCTGATGCCGCATTTTCAAGGCTACACGTGGGCTAGACCAGGAGACTAACGCCTTCGGCCCCGCCCTGCTGATTCCTCGTAAGAAAGGCCCGAATGCTTTCGGACGGGAGGGAGAAGACACCCGCCAGCGAGAGCCGAGGAGGGGACGCGGCGGCGCGCGGCCAGGGCGCGACCGTGTGTGAGGGCGAGGGCAGCTACAGTCAGACACGTTTCCGCTCATCTCCGGGTCCGCGACGGTCCCAGGGAAGCCGCGCCTCAGCGCCCAGGGCCCGGGGACGGCGAACCAGACGCCGGAGGGCCGCCCGAAAGCCAAGGCAGAAACACAGAGACCCACGGGCTGCGAGCCCAACAGGCCGTGCCCCGGCGAACAGCACGCGCCCGAGCCCGAGCCCTCCCGCCCCGAGCCCGCGAGCCGGCGGACGCCAAGGAGACCCGAGGCCGCACTCACCATGGCCTCCGCCGCGAGCCCGGCTCATTCCCGCGCAGAGGCCGCGGCCGCCGCCCGCACGCCGGGAGCAGAGCGACACCCCCGCGACCGCACGCACGACCCGCCGAGCACGCCCGCCCGACGCGACGCTGCCGGCGCTGCCGCAAACGAAGCCGCAAAACTGTCGTAAAAGGCGTCGCGGAGGAGACGGAGAGTCACGCCGGCGGCGGACGGGCGGAGATGGCGACTTCGGGTTGGTGGAAGGGTGGGCGGATCTCTTCCTTTCTCGGCGTTGGGGTGGGGCTTCGCGGTGTCTTCTGCCCTCTGCTCCCGGGCGGTGCGGGTGTGGAAACTCCTGCGGGGAAGGGCGCGGGCAGCCTTCCTCGGCACGGGTTTCTTTTCCTGCGTCCTGGCGCCTCGTTTTGCCTTTATTTGGTTGATGTTAATGACTGCCAAGGGTAGTGAAGTGACTTAAACTTGCTGTCACCAGTTTCCACCACGAACCCTAACAAATGGTTGTCACCCAGTGTGGGAAATGAGATGCCCAGAAAAACAAATGAAGCCAACCGCACTGTGTTTCAGGCGCTGCTCGGTAACATTTTTTTTTTAATTTGAAAGAACTTCATTGAAGGATGTGACTTGACAAGGCTTTCTGTGAATGTTTGGGTTTTCATTTTGTAGAATGGGATTAAAGACAGTTCACATTCTGTCTGAAAAGGGCTATTTTAAAAGTTTCCCCCTCACCAAAAATAAAAAGTAGGGCTGGATTTTGCTCTTACGTGGACATCAGTTTTATGTATCCGTACTTAAATGCTTGAGAAGAGAAAAATAATGGAGACAATTTTTTAAATGCAGTGTTTGCATGATCAAAATAAGTGTGGAATTACTTCCCACTTAGAATTTACACAGTATTAAAAATCTGTTTACATTGCTACGCAGTTCTGCTTTAATGAAGTGGTTAGTTATTAAACAAATATGCAAAATTTTTGGCTTTGTTTTCCTCATCTGTAAAAACAGTTTGCATTTGACAATCCAAGAGCTCTTCTAGCTCTAAAGATTTTGTAATATAATTTCTTGTCAACACATGATTTAAGGTGACATCCAGCACTAAGACACTAGCATTAAGTTTATAACTTTCTCTTTTGCCTCTCTTTTATCTAGTTTTTACCAAATAATTACAAAATGATCAAGTGAGGCATAAGACATTGGGAACAAATTGGCTAGAATGCTATCTGGAAAAATTTATTATGTGTACTTTTGGTATGTACAAACTATGGCATGCAGTTTTCTGGAGGAATAGATTTACAACAGAATCTAATTAGCTTTAACACTTTACAAAAGCCCAGATTCAGGAAATTGGGAGTGGCAACACAGAAAGACACTTGGTTGAGCTGGAGATAGCTCTGTTTTTAATGGCAGATGAAACTGGAGGGACCTGGCTCTGTCACTAGCACTGTGACTTGGACAAGTTATTTCTGATTGAGTTTCCTCATTTGTAAAATGAAGGTAGTGGTAACTACCTTGTGGAGTTTTTGTGACCATAGAGATTATGCACATACTGTGTTCTGCATGTGGTCGTCACTCAGTGTGGGACTGTTACGATGAGGGAAGCCATTATAAGTGCAAAGCCTTCCTGATTCTCATGATACCTCACTCAGGAATCTAAGTCGTGTTACCTCTTACCTACCTGTCAAGATCCTAGAAAGAGCTTTGAAAAGTAATCTTTTTAAATGTCCGTTGACTGATGAATGGATGATCATCCCTTGTTTCTTCTAGCTTCTGGCAGCTGCCAGCATTCCTTGACTCGTGACTGAATCACTGCAGTCTTGTAAGCCAGCATCTTGAATTCTCACTCTGCTCCATCTTTACATTGTCTTTCTCTTCTGTTTGTAAAATCTTCTTCTGGTTTCCTCTGAGAGGATACAAGTAATTGCGTTTATGGGCCATCGAGATAATCCAGGGTAATCTCCCCATCTCAAGATCCTTAACTTAATCATAGTTTCGAAGACTTCGCCATATAAGGTAACATTCACAGGTTCTAAGGATTAGGACATTGATATCTTTGGGGCACATTATTTACTATAGAAAGTAATAAAAGACAAAACAGGGGGTAGGGACAAAAGAATGAGAAAGGACTCAGGTACATCTTCTTAGTTTCTTGTCCCAAATTTATGAATCAGGTACATCACTTCTTGGAAAGAAGTAAGTGAGAGTCAAGAGCAGTAGCTGAGAGTGTTCTTGCACTGTGGCTTTCCAACAGGTTTTTGACTGTCATCCTTAGTAAGAAATACATTTTACACTGTGACCCAGGGAGAAAATACATATTTGCACACGCAAATATGCGTAGTAGAAGTGTATTTATGAGACAATACTTATCCTTTACTTCATGAAATGCATGCTAGTCTTTTCTGTTTCTTAAAAAGTAGGTGCTAGAAAACCTACTAAACTCACAGCCCACTAATTGGTCATTGCCTAAAGTTTGTAAATTATCACTCTGCAAAAATCCACATTTGTAACTATAATGCCAGGCAAATAAGGGGTTCCCACACCAGCTAAAAACCATGTGCCAGACATTCAGGCCAATAAGGGGTTCCCACACCAGCTAAAAACCATGTGCCAGACATTCTGCCAAATGCTTTACCTAGATGTTTCATTTCACTCTGTGAAAGTAACATTTACTCTGTTTTGCAGATGAGGCTATATTGCTAGAGGCATTTCACTTTTTTTCCCAGATCCTCTCTCTACCTTTTTATCACGTTCTGTGTTCCAGAGGAGCAGAAAAGATTAGGAGGTGACCTTAATGCACTTTATCAATGAGCAGCTCCCTCGTTTTCTGGCTTAGAGTTCATTTAGGTTTGTAGTCAGGAGATCACAAGGTAGGAGGAAAGTGATTTCATGGTTTTTATTTCTACCTCTTACTTTCTGGTGATTGCTGTAGGCTGACTGAATTGGTTTGCTGAAGAATACAGCTCCTACTGTATGCACGTGTTCTGGTAATTACTCCTGCCTCTCCCTCCTTCAGATTTAAGGGTCGTCATGCCTTTACTACTGGCCCCTACTGCCCTGCTAGTCACAGGGCACTTGAACATTTTCTGCTAGTTTCCCTTAATCCTGTCCACATCTTTGTAAACAGTCTTCTAAAATTTCCACTTGACTGTGGTCTGAATGTTTGTCTCCCCACAAATTAATATGTTGAAACCTAATAACCAATGCGATGGTACAAAGAGATGGGGCCTTTGGAAAGTGATTAGATCATAATGGTAGAGCTTTGTGAATAGGATTAGCACCCTCATAAAAGAGGCATGAGAGAGACCCTCATTCCTTCCACCCTGTGAGAACACCTTGAGAAGCAACTGTCTGTGAAACAGAAAGGGAGCCCTTGTCAGATGGATTCTGCCTTGGTCTTGGACTTAGAGTGAAAAGATGGCTGTCTATGAAGAAATGGGCCCTCATCAGACACCAAGTCAGTCAGCACCTTATTCTTAAACTTCCCCACCTTCCAGAACTCTGAGAAACACATTTTTGTGTTTATAAGCTACCAGTTTATGGTATTTTGTTATAGCAGCCAAGACTAAGGCAGTATACCATCTGTTTCCAACATGAATAGTGACTATTATGTTTGTGCTTTTTTTTTTTTCTTTTTGAGTTAAAGCCTTGCCCTGTTCCCCAGGCTGAAGTGCAGTGGCATGACAGTGGCCCCCTGCAGCCTCTAAGTCCTGGCCTCAAGCGATCCTCCCTTCTTAGTTTTCCAAGTTAAGGGGACTATAGGCAATGGCCACTGAGCCCAATTTGATGATGACTGTTATAAAAGGCCATTGTAATAATTCAAATGAGAAATGATGATAACAGTGGAGGTAGAGCAAAGGGGCTGGACTCTTGCTTATATATTTAAGGTCTAGCTGATAGAATTTGCTGATGGGTGAGATACATTGTGTGAGAGAAAGAGAGAAGTCAAGAATGTCTCCAAAGCTAGAGGCTTTAGCAACTGGAAGGACGGATTTGCTGCTGAATGGGGCTAGAAAAACTTCAGAAAGAGCAAGAAGCAGGAAGTGGAAGGCTTTTTCCATGTTCAGTTTGAAATGCCAATAAGATACAGTGTCGTTCAGTCGGCAATTGGACATACAGCTCTGGTGTCAAAAGAGAGGTTTGGGAGTCTTTAGCCCATGGGTGGTCTTTGAGGCCATGGAACAGATGAAGTCATCCTTTGCATGACTGGAGCAGAAAAAAGAGGAATAAGAACTGTGTTTTGGGATGCATCTGTGTTTGGAATTTGGGACATGAGGAAAAAACAGAAAATGATGTAATAGACTGAAAAAGGGTAGGCGTAAGCCAGGTAAGTGTAGTGTCTTGGTAGCCAAGTGAAGAAAGTGTTCAATGGAGGAAGTCATTAGCTGTGTCAAATGCTGCTAATATCCTTCTGAGGGAGAGCCTTTGGAAACAAAAAAGCAAGACAAGCAAACAAGTGTTGCTAGTAGTCAAATAATAAAAAGAATTGAGAATTGACTACCCGAGGTCATAGTCCTGAGACTTTCCGTGGTGTGATGGGAATGAAAGTTTGATTGGAGTGGGTTCAAAAGAGGATGGGAGGAGAGAGAGTGAAGATACAGGTTCTAAAAAATCGCTTTCAAGGAATTTTGCTGAAAAGGAAATTAGAGAAATGGGCAATATGAAAGGAGGAAGCAGTGTAAGGAGAGCTTTGTTTTTCTAAAAAATGCTAACAAGAATGAGCTTTGAGTAAGGTAGAAGAAATAAAAGCAGCCAGGTGCGGTGTCTTGCGCCTGTAATCGCAGCACTTTGGGAGGCTGAGGCAGGCAGATAATGAGGTCAGAGATCGAGGCCATCCTGGACAACACGGTAAAACCCCATCTCTACTAAAAATACAAAAATTAGCTGGGCGTGGTGACGCACCTGTAGTCCAAGGTACTCAGGAGGCTGAGGCAGGAGAATCACTTGAATCTGGGAGGCAGAGGTTGCAGTAAGGAGAGATTGCACCACTGCACTACAGCCTGGGTGACAGGGCAAGACTCTGTCTTAAAAAAGAAAGAGAAAAAAAGGAAGAAAGAAAGGAAAAGAGAAGCATGTTTATCTGTTATAAGAATGATCTTGGCCGGGCGCGGTGGCTCAAGCCTATAATCCCAGCAGTTTGGGAGG